AACCAGACATACCTCAGTGCTTAGCACAGTGTCAGTACCTGGTTTAGCCTGACATAAACAGACATTAGCTCTGGGCTTTGAAACAGAAGAGAAAGAGAAATCCTGTCCCAGTGACTTCCTTGCACACTTACAGTAAAATCCAATCTTTAGCCTCACATGGCCTGATCTCTGGGCACCCACCTCCTTTTCCTGTCACCCTTGTTCCATGTTCCCTCTCCCGAGCTGCCCTGGTCTGGTGCCGATGATGCTCAGCCTGCAGTGAAGACCTCCCTCCAGGATCCCACAGGCCCCACTCTCCTTGAACCAGGACTCTGGCAGCAGCGGCAGGACCCCTCCCGGACAAAAGAGCCTTTCCCACCTGCCTGTCTGCAGGAGAGCTCCCAGCATGGTCACTCTCAGGCCCCTGATGCGTCTTCATTTTGTCTCACATTGTCCATGAACTGATGATGCGCGTATGGGCACATGTATGTGTTGCATGTATATGAATATGCATGTGTGTTCATGTGTGCATGCTTATGTGCATGTGTGTACACCCGTGTGTGAGAATAGGTATATGTGCATGCTTCTGTGTGTTTGGTTTGTTTCTATCATCCCTGCTACAAACATGTGGACAGGAATCGCTTTTATTTTTCAGTGTCTCATTTCACCTCACCAGGAAAGTGTGTGGCACAGAATAAAGAATCAATAAATACTTGTTGTATAAAAGGAGGAAATGTAATCATCTGTTAATGGACCAACTATTGGGGACAAAGTGTTTTACATTTAGTGATCCCCAGAGAACCCTGAAGCACTCCTTCTTTATCAGCAATGTGACTGTGCTGCATCACAATTTCTCAATGAGATTTCTCAATGTAATGATTAGCTATGTGCACATGGAACCTGAGGATCTATTCACATGAGTGCATTCATATATCTATTTGGGAACACAAAGAGTATGTGATGAGTATGTGTGCTGATACACAATGTATAGTATGTAAACATGGTGTTTGTATATTCAGACATACTATAGCATATATTCATTTAGAGCAGTGGTTTCCAACCAATTTTTGGCCATGCGCCACCTAAGCATCTCAAAATCCTGAAGCCCACTCCCCCATAACACAATTCTTATTCAAAAAGTGAACTCCTATCAGCCTAAAAGGCTATTAATTTGGTCTAAACAAACTTTGAAGGAACATGGCATCCATAAAAGAGAAAAGTAAAAGAATGCAAGGACAGTTAAGTACCAAGGAAAAAATTACTAAGAAATTGTTAAAAATAATAATAATATGAAGTGATATAAAAAATAGCAAATAAAGTTTCAAAACATAATAGAGAACTGAAATGCATAAATATATATATATATATATATATATATATATATATATATATATATATATATATGTAGCCCCTAGAACCATAAGAAATGCAAAAAATTAACTCATTCTTAATTGCCCCCCTTTAAAAGTCAAATTTCACCCCTGTGGGGTATGGGCCCCACAATGGGAACCACTGTTTTAGAATCTAAATTATACTCCACAAATTAACATATGTAGCCAATAGCCAATTAGCTATATGCTCACTAAACTATCATCAGTTAAGGTTAAAGAGGAAGTTGATAACTGTGGAGTACTTTAAAAGAAACAGGATTTTCCTTCTTCAGCATAAAAAAAGGAAGCAGTTGCCCCCAGGTGGAACCACTCACGTGCTGCCTGGGGACATGAGTAGGGTGACTGAGTGGCCAAAAGGCAGGGAAACTGGCTAGAAGGGCACTGATCCTTAGTCCTACAGATAAACTTGAACAGAAACTCCTTTGAAAGACTGACCCAAAATAAACTCTGGCCAGCCTGTCTAGCAGCTATGGGTTTCAAGATTAGGGTGTCTACTTGCATCAGCATTGACCTCTTACCTCTGATCCGGGCTCAGAGCTGGATGGGGGAAGGGATCCCAAACCACCTCTTGGTGCCCAGTGTGGTGAGTGTAAAAGATGCATCCACCCAACACTCACACCAGAAAGTAACTCACCAGGGGATGCCCAGAGCCAAGGAGATGCTCCATTGTGCTGCATCCACATAATGGAAGACAATTGTTAACGAACATCTGGCATAAAGTTATATTTATTGATATGGAATGATGTTTGTACAGTGTGTGTGTGTGTGTGTGTGTGTGTGTGTGTGTGTACGTACATGTGTGTGTGTGCGTGCGTGCGTGTGTGTGTGTGTGTGTGTGTGTGTTTGTGTGAGTGTGAAATTCAGAGGGTAAAACAACATAACAGAGGCCCTGCTTGGGCAGATAAGGAAATACTTGCTCAGCCTCTTCCAGACTGAGGACCAGGTAAGGAAATACTTGCTCAGCTCTCCACCATCTCCCCTCTGCTCCCTGGCCTTCCGGGGGTAAGCGTTTGGCTGAAATTAGGGGATTAGTACACTAACTGCATGTATGTGCCTGTTATGAACTGATTGTGTCCTTCCCAAATCCATTCACAGGGTGGAAACCCTACTCCGCAGTGTGAGGGTCTTAGGAGGGGGTGCTGGGGAGTGGGAGAGTCCTCAGGAATGGGACTGGTCCAGCTCTCTCCCCTTCACCCTGCCATGAGAGTATCTGAAGAGAAGTAGCTGTGTGACCAGGAGAGGCACCTGACCAGAGCCCTGCCTTTGGGGTAGCCAGCCTGTGGATTGGTGATAGGAGCCCTGCGGTCAGTGCCCTGGGCCCTGGCTCCAGGATTCCTGTGCACATTAGTAGCTGCCTCCTGCCCATGAGGAGAGCACACCCTAGCTGGCAGGGTGAGGAGTGAGGGGTGAGGGCTGGGGCTACATCTCCAGGAGGCACTCTATCCGCAGCTCCCCCTCCCCCAGTGCCATAGGCACTGCAGCTGGAGGCCCAGGGCCCCTTAGGCTGTGGCCCATCCTAAGCTTTTTAAGCCAGCTCTCCAGGAGAAAGAGACACTGTTTGAGCATGCCCACTCTCCTCCTTCCTCTCCCTCCTTTGTCTCAGACCCATGGGAGAAGCCAGGGTGAATGAACACTTCAAACCTCAACACACACACAGTGCGTTCCAGCTGTGCTTGGTGCATCTCCTTGTGGCCAAGCATCCGGAAGGATGCTACAACGCCCATCTGCGCTGGGGGGTGAGAGTATTTTCTTGCATGAGTTGTGATCATTATAATCATCCTATTTTCACATCTAAAACAAGGAGGACGTTCCCCTGAGCTTGTTCCCCATCCCAGCACACGTTTGGGGCCTTCCTTCTGGGCTGCGCACAAGGACAATAGGGCTGCTGAGTATGCTGGTCATGCACCGCGGTGAGACCACAGGCTCCACTTTGGCCCTCTTCCCGTGGCCTCTGCTGCTCAGGGTTCTGAGCAAACAGTGAGGTGGTGAAAAGGAAATGCAGTGATTTGCACAAAGTCACATAACCAGAGAGAGGAGCCAAGCCCTCACTCCCACCATGGCCTGCTCTCAAATCCACGCCTCCTGCTCAAACATCCACATAAAGTAAAGGCAGTGACGGAAGAAAAATAAAACATGTGTGACGTCCATGGGGTGGCCACGCAGACTGCACAGAACGCAGATGTTGCAGGGGGTCCCAGAGACACAGAAACATGCTCACCTCCTCCCTATACCCCCAAACCCAACCTGGGAGACAAGGAAGCTGCACCCTAAAGAGAGGGTTCACTGGGTTTGAGAAACAGGCTTTTGCATCTAGTGCTGAGCCTGACCTGTGCAGACGTGAGGGCCAGAGGGAGAGAAACAGGGACAAGACACACTGACTCTCCAGGCAGCCCTGAGGCCGGGGAGGCCTGTCCCAGTGCTGGGGTCTCAGCCTGCGTGCTTGGTGCACCCGGCCAGCACAGTAACAAATTCTCCCAGTGATAATACTGAGTCATCAAGAAAAGGTTACATTTTATATTCGGAATTATCTGCTTAAGAAGGCAAGGAAGCATGTAATCTATTTGAGAAAGATTTTCATTTCAAATAGTAGAAACTCTTAAAAGATTTCTGGTGCTTAACGGAATAAGTGGCAGTTATCTGGAAAAATTTACTCGCGTGGCACAAGGTCTTCCCTAAGGATCCTAGACCAGGCCGCTGTGGGTTACATTAGGGAGGCACACAGGCCTGCTCCTTCTGGACTGCTCATGGTCTGGTTTTCCAGGCCTTTCACAACTCCTCACTCCAGTGCTGGGCTCTAAATCACATGACCCTAAAGATTCCTACACAATTTTTGGCCAGCCCACACCCCATGGCGGGCAGCTTCCCATCCCCACCCACACCCCTGCCAGGAAACAGATGGTAAGCTGTGTTTACAGTGCCCACTGATGCCCAGGGTGGGCACAATTATTGTCAAGCCCACCTGACATCGTGTAGAACCCCTGGGTGTTTTAGTAAGCAGTTCTAGAAAATTTCTGTTTGTTTGTTTTTGTTGTAATTCTTGCAAGCATGTTAATATGAATAAACTATTCACTGTAAAAATAACCATCAGAAAACATTAAAAAATAGGTCTATCTAATTTTCTAAAAGCAAGTTCTAGTTTCATAAAATGCATCTGCACGGAGGCCTCGGCGTTTCAGGGAGCAAACAGGACCTGCTACCAGCGGCCTCATTGCCTCACACTGCGCCCCCAGTTTCCCCCAGACTGAAAGCCTGGCTTTGGGTGAACGTGCAGAGAGCCTGTGGCCTTCCCCTATGCTATCACCTGCACGTCTCTATGTCCAGTTCCAGGGCTCGCTTCAAAGTGCCACTGCTCTCAGGCACTTTTCATGGTCACTGCTGGGCAGGGTGGGTGAGGCCATCCTTCCCTTTGGAAGATGAGGAGGGACCTCAAGAGGCAATGGAACTTGGCCCACCCTGGGCATCAGTAGGACTGGTCCATCACTGTGCTCTCCTGACAGCCTTTCCCTCCCGGCTCAGTGCAGCCCCCATTGGGCAAACACCAATCTTTGTGACAGTCCGGGTTATGGAGCCCTTCTGCCCGCTGTGGCCACCCAGCGTGATCAATCAAAACAGCAGGGCCCGTGAGCCTACCTGGTGTGTTGAGCAGGCGGGACCTCTTGCAGTAGTAGGCCACCTCCTGCTCACAGTGCTCCGCGCTGTCAATCATGGCCTCCAGCTGCCCCAGGCTGCCCCCATAGTCCAAGGCCATGGAGTAGGGCTTCTCTGGGCTGGCGCCCTGCACATGGGTCAGCTCTGTGTTGTTGTGTTGCACCGAGGTCCAAATCTTGTCCTCTGCCCAGAAAACACAGCCAGAGGAAGAGGGGGTTAGAAGAAAGTTCAGAAAAGGATTGCGCTTGCAAACAGGCTCTTGTGGACAATGTGATGGTGGCTCCCAGGGGAGCTGCTGCTCTGCACATGCCCAGGACTTGACCAGAGAGATTTGCTCCTCACAGAGCTCCACCAGGGAGAAAGGAAATCAGTAATCTTAGGAGCTGATGCTTTGGAGCCCTGATTCCACAGGCTGCAAGCTCCGCATCTAATCCCATTATCTCATTTAAAACCCATGTTACCAAGAAGCCCATGCGCCCAGGTCAGAGGTGGGGGAATGCAAGACTCAGGCGGATTGCTCAGGATTGCAGTTAGTGACTCAGCAGGAATGGAATCCCAGGTATCAGTCCTCCAAAGCCCCCCGTCTACTGACCACCCCTCGTCCCCCACAAAAGGAACACCAGCAGCCATGGGTATCACAGAAAGCCACACCTTCCAGGGCGAAAATAAGACCCATACACAGAGTTTCTGTAAACACACAGGTAAGAAGGGTAGACTTTGGCCATCCCCACTGAACTCCGAGGCACTTAGCTGCAGTTTATTATGCATCCTCTGATTGCCAAAAGTATTTGTGGAGGCTTACAAGAAAAGAACATGCAGAGGCGAAGACCTTTAAATCAGGGACCTTTAAACATGCTTTGCCCAGAACAGGGAAAACGGAAGGCCTGGAGAGAGGAGAGGAATGTGAGTTTTAGAAACTGGGAGATCTGTTATGAAACCTCTTTCTGCTGAGAACAGGCTTAGACAAGTCACCTCGCTATCTGGGGGCTCAGTGTTATCAGTAAAATAAATAAGTAAATAAATAAATGAATTAATAATTAATTAATTCAAGAACAGCAAAACCACCTATCTTGTGGCAGGGCTGTTACTATGGAATAACAATCAAAAATATAAAGTTTCAGGACACCATGTGGGAGGCATCAGACATTCTGTAATAATAACTCAGGGCAAACATTTACGGCAAGTGGGTGTGGAATTGAATTCTGAGCATGCTTAGGAATGAAGCCAAGGAGGACAGGGGCATCTTGGAAAGCTTTTGTCATCTGAGCATCTTTACCGCAGTGACATCACTCCTTCTCCTCGGTTCTCAGGGCTGAAGAGGAGCCCCACATGGAGAACACATGGCTCTGTCAGCCTCACCTCCTCAATCTTACAAATGCACACACCCAGGTCTGAGAAGTGAATAAAACGGCCGGAGGCCTATCGGACAAGAAAGATGAGCACGTACACTGCACACAGCCACCGTTGATCACCGCCACTAAGAGGCAAGGTTGTGACCTGGGGTAAGAAACTTCACTGCCTTGCACTGCAGTGCCAGCAACGTAGCGGGAGAAAAGAGAAAAGGAGAGTTTGAGTTTGGTTTCAATGATCTCTAAAGTATTTTCCAACTCTCAAAAAGGACATGTTTCTTTTAGCACAAAATTAAACTGTGCTCAGACACTCCAATTCATCTTAAGACTATTCCCTAAAGCCAGCCCATTATAACCCACCTATCTCCAATGTTTAACAGAGGCAGAATTACATTTTCTAAAGGTCTAGAAAACAAATCAGGATGGATTTGTCTTTGAAAGTAAACATGGTACATGTAAAAATAATGTTACACAGATAATTAACAAAAAATCTTTAAAATGTCAATATAGATAAATGCAGATAAAATAACTAAAGACAAGCAATTGATTAATAATGCATCACTGTAGAGGGACAAAGAAAGACTGACAGTTTTGACATGTCCATGGTGCTGAGAAGCAGAAGAGAAAAAACCCAGTCCAATAATGATGTGTCGCTGCCTCATACTAGAACATTCTACACTGTAGTGTTACCTCTATATTTTTACCTATGTCTAAACAGATATACAGATATAGATATGTAGATATATGAATGCTCAGAGAGACAAGTAAATTTGTCCCCAATCTTATTGTGTCCAATCTATCTCATTTCAAAAGTGATCTACATAGCATCATTAAATCATATGGATTTAGATTTCCCTTCCAATGAACACAGACATTCATATCTGTATATTCATTCACCTAATGGTTCATATATACATTCATTAATTGATTTTCTTATTCATTTAATAATTGACTTATTTTGCCAAATTCATATTATATCTTTGGCAAGATGGAAAAGAAAGCTGTGTCAGACAATCTTTCATCTTAAAGTCACTACTATTGCCAACTCTGCCTCGGGACCCTGAGGGTAAATTGAAGTTTTAATAATTCAACTATTGGCACATATTGATCTATGCAATCTACAGAAGTTGCACAGAGACACTAAGAGCTTGAAAGCACTCCCACAATTCACTTAGCTGTCACAGTATTAGTGACAGGATGAGAGCTGATTACTGGAAACCTAGGTCTCTTAGTTGGTTTTCCTTTCAAAGACACCTTTGTCCTCTGATAATTTTCTCCTGGGAGATAGCAGAGTAAAGACAAAAAAAAAGGATAAATTGGTGTTATTTTTCCCAGCCTCATTGGCAGCAGTGTAGGTTAAGCCCTGACCCTGACACAATAGCAGAGGCCAGTGGGTCAGTGGCCCTGTGAGAGCCTCGTGGGCCAGCTGCTGCTCCCTGCTCTCGGTGGGTGCTGTGGTTTCGGCTGGGGAAGGTCCATGTGAAGTAGCACTGAAGGGTTCTCAAACAAGTAAGATTTACTCTAAACAGTCCATTAGGTGGGTACAGAGGATACATTCGCAAACCCACACATGCTTGTACTAAAACATGGCCCTTAAAGGTAAGTATTCAAGATGATCTTTTGGTGCATGGGTGGGTGAAGGACAATGTATGTGGCCGGGCTCTGGAGTCAGAAGATCTGGATTGGCATGCCAGCATGGCACTTCCTGGCTTAGCAACCTTGGCCAAATGATAACTTTCCTAAAGTTCTATTTCCTCTTCAGTAAATCTGAAAAGTAGCAATGAGGCCAACTATACAGGGTGGTTGTAAAGATGAGTGAGGGGATTTCTGCAAGGAGGCCCATTATCCACCAAGTGAACTGCTGCTCATGTACATAAAGGCATCAGTGTCTCACAGGTGACCAGTGCTATTCTATTAGTAACAGCATCCAGGAGAAGGCAGGTGGAGAGTGGCCTCAGATAGCTCTCAGAACGGTGTGTCAGTTCTTTCCCAGAGCACAAAGTAAGAGATGCCTTAAGAAGAGAAAAGGTAAACTTAGCCCAGCCTTCCCTCCCAATCCATAAAAATTCTTGAGCAAAACACACCCATTTCAAAAGATCCAGAACAGGAATTGCTTTATTTTTGAAGTTTTGGAAACTTCACACAATTCAACCTACAAAGATTGCCTATAACTCAAGAAAGTCCAATGTCATGTAGGGAATGAGAGTGAATCATCTAAATGCTAAGTCTGGAAACTCATTTTAAAATCAAGTCCTCAAGGCTCCAAACACCACCCTCTGCTGGCCTGCCTCCAGACCAAACCCCAACACAGGCATGTGGCACAGTCTCTGGGGAAGCCTCCAGTCTGCAAGGTCTCTTGAGATAGCCGGCATTGTGGACACGTCCATTCCTTAGAACCTGGGCTCTGCCACACGCCAGCTGGGCAAGTTACATCACCATCTTTGGTTTCCTTCTTGGAAAGCAGGGCTTGTAATATCATTTTAATTAAATCCTATATAATAAAATATCAATATGCTAAGTGCCTGGTCATCCAGTCATCTGTTCAACCAATCAAAGCATAATATGTTAATGATATACTAAGGCTGCTCAACCCCTCTCTATGATGTGCACTGACCACCATGGGGCAGATACTCCAATGGGTAAGTTAGCTTGCTGCCAGGGTCCGGCTGATTGGGATTGAGCTAGATGGGTTGGACATGCCTTGGAACCTTCCCCTGATGGCATTCAGCCCTAACCTCAGCCTGGCCTGAACCCTCTCTCAATCTGGACCCCTTAGGAGAGATGTCAGAAAGCCAGTTTCAGTTCCATCCCACAGGCCAGGCTGAGGGACCCCACTGGTGCACTGGGCCTCTAGTAGTATTATAATATTTTATATTAAAATTATATCTTCTACATAGACACCTAATAAGTGGTTGAACATGTAAAAGAGTTAAGAATTGGTACATTAGAACTTTTTCTTTAATGCACTAGAATGAGGACCTCAACCTCATTCCTTAGAGAGTTGGGGTGGGATCTCATCTGGCAAAGGAGTTTAGAAACCAGGATGGAGTGCAGTTCCTTTACTACAGTTGCTGCTGTACAATGATAAATTATTACCATCTGTTCAATTATCTTTTCACTCTGAAATAGCCTCACGTCTGTCTGTATTTATTGGTGTCCCTTACATCTCCTGAAATTTCATCAGCAGAATATGTTGTTTAATTTCCATAAAACTAGAAACCTGAAAAAAAACACTGATACTGTCATTTTGCTATCCCCTATCATTCATCCTATTAAGGGCAGAAATAGAATATTGGGGATCAGCTAGAATTGTAAGAAATATTAATCATGCTCTGTTAACCATGATTGTTTTATTCTGATTAAAGAAGGCACATTCGACCCTGGCTGGGAGCTCACCTGGAAATACAGTCCTTCCTCCCCATCAGGAGCTGCCTATTAGCATGGAAATATTAACCTTGTTGCAGAAGCTAGGATTACCAGCCCTTTGAAGATCCCCAGCCATTTGCATACCACAGGCCTTTGCAAATCTCCAGACCAGCAAACTGCCCATTTGGATACCTTTTGCCTATGTCCCCTTGTAACCTTTGTCCTTCCTCAGAATATAAGCAGCTGGCTTATGTTGGGATGCAGAGCAGATTTTATGGGTGACCTGCTGCTCTCTCACACTGCTGGCAGGATTGGAATAAACACTCAGATGCTTCAACCTTGCCTCTGCTGAATTGCCTCAAGTCATAACAGGCAGCACAGACCCATTATTTGTCTGATTACAACTCTGCTATTTATCACCAATCAAACCCATGATCAGAAATAATCCTGGCTCTCTACTTGCTTGTA